TGTCCAGATGAGAAAACTAAGACTTAATTAAGTAGGTTAATCCCAGAGTTTCTGAACTTCTCAAAGGTAAAACTAGGGATCCAGCCTGGAACTTTTGGCTCTGAAGCTCTTTTTCCTCAACCCCATGTTCATGCTGAAGAATCTCTAAAGAAATATGAATAAAACAATCACACAGCAGAAGAAGGAGTCTTTAGAGATAAGGTAAATGTGTTAGTTCTTGATTTATTGCCTCTCAGCTCCAAATTTACCCATCATTCCTGTTCTGTGAAACTGGATCTGGGCCCATTAAATGATTATCCTTTGCCACTGCTGAAGCGACACTGCAGGAGAGTTTTGATTCCTGGTTGGCGTCTGCTTGCTCAGCAGGCTTCTTTAGCATACACCTGCCTTTCCCAGTGCCTGGCTCCTGCAGTGCACAGTGGCCAGCAGCCTCCCCCCAGCACTCCACTGGGGCAGATTCATGGTAGAGTGCTTCTCAGGAGACACTTCCCAGTGAACAGCACTCTAGAGGGTGGATCTCTGGCAAGCTCTGCTGGCAAGAAACCATAGCAACTTCTCTGGCATCCAGTGAGTAACAGTTATATCCTCTTTAACAAGGTCTGGATTACAGCCCTGGGGCTCTTTCTTGGGTGGAACACTAGGCGATGTGACTGCTTCTTGTATCTGTTATTCATATATGTATATATGAATATATATTTGAATATATTTTCAAAATATATATTTTCAAAATATATTTTGAGACAAGGTCCCACTCTGTCGCCCAGGCTGAAGGGCAGTGGCATAATCACGCCTCACTGCAGCCTCGATCCCCCTGGCTCAAGCAATCCTCCCACCTCAGCCTCCTGAGTAGCTGGGTCTCTAGGTGCATGCCACTGCACCTTGCTAACTTTTTGTATTTTTAGTAGAGATGGGATTTTGCAACGTTGCTCAGGCTGGTCTCCATCTGGGTTCAAGTGATCCACCTGCTTCGGTCTCTCAAAGGGCTGGGATTGCAGGTGTGAGCCATGACACCCGGCCCCTATATTCTTTAGAACTCTCTTTTTTCCTTTTTTCTCTAGTATTCCCATAAGCTCTCTTTATTTCTTATAAGCCAAAACAAAAATCATAGTTACTCCATCCTACTTACTCCAATCCTAATCATAGTTATTCTTCAAATTTTCCCTGGTTTAAATCTATGCTTTTTTTCCTTCTGATTAAACCCTGACTGATACAGTAAACATAATAAGAGTATTCAGCTTACAAGATAAGAGTAGATAGGGAATAGAAATAAAACCCATAAAACTATGAAGAGTACGGAAATTGTGAACAATGACATTCTCTAAAACCTAGTTTATAATTACGGGTCCTAACTTTGAAACGCGAAGAGTAGCTAGCTATAAGAGAAATAAAAGTACTTCTTTATGTCTTTCTTTTCTTGTACTTGTTGCTACAAGAGGTAATACAAGGCAAAAATACAGATTGTTTCAAGATCGATTTGGATAAATTCAAGGATGACAAATCTAAAAATAAGGGAAGCAGAATTTCTTAGGCTACATATCATAAACTGTGTCATATAATGGGTACCAAACTTAACATCACATTAAATACTTCCTACAGGTCAGTGTCATTCAGAAATGTACTGTTTCTCAAACTGGGGTCCTGTTGTTTACATGATTTTTAAAAATTTATGCTTTTACTCAGGTAACTTAAAAAAATATATACAGTCTGATCATCTGTCCAATTGATTATCACAAAGCTGGGTTTTACTACATAATTTCAGTGCTCCATTTTACAGGTGTATTTCAGAGCATGCTGACATCAGGTAGCTCCAGCTTATTTGATAAGGGCTAATTACATGAGCCAGTTGAACTGCTAAATAAATATGCTAGTGACATGTAAAAGCCAAGTGTCATCATGGCACACTGAAGAAGCAGTGAGTGAAGTGAAGCATGGTTATCCCTAATGCAAAAGGGATCAATCAGTACCATATGTATATTGCCCACTTAATTTCAGAAAAACATCATTCTTCACAATAATTTCCGTGTTCTTGATTTTAAAGCTTTATTTATTTATTTATTTTTGAGACAGGGTCTTGCTCTGTCACTCAGGTTGGAGTAGCGTTGTGTTCAAGGCTCACTGCAGCTCTGACCTCTCGGGCTCTAGCGATCTTCCCACCTCAGCCCCCCCAAGTAGCTATAGTGCCACCATGCCTGACTAACTTTTGTATTTTTATAGAGAATGGGTTTCACCATGTTCCCCAGGCTAGTCTTAAACTCCTGGACTCAAGCGATCTGCCCACCTTGGCCTCCCAGAGTGCTGGGATTATAGGCATGAGCCACCTTGCCAGGCTAGTATTTAGCATTTGAGGAGCAAAAGCATTTAGGTGGCTACTGCAAAAGTCCAGGGACATCATAATAAGGGCTTAGTCAATGGAGGTGCCCTAGAAATGTAAATCAAGAGATAGAAGGGTAACATTGTGGGGGAAGGTTGAAAGTGGCTTTATTATTTATGTAAATTTGTCACTTCTTGTTTTGCTTTTATAAATGAACAAGGGATAAAGAATGTTTAAGCCTATTTTTCTGTAATGTTTGTAAAAATAATACAACTAACTCAGAATCTACTCTACATATATAGATATATTTCATTTAAAGGAGAGACACTCTGGAGTAGATGGCCAATGGATTTCATGTTAGGCTTATTCTTATATTCTGATGTTTATGTCTAATGCTCATCTGGACCTGCCTATATTGTCAGGTGAAAGTAGACAAAGGCTCTGCTTATGTTTCTCCTAATGGCTTGACAGGGATCATCTTACATATATGACAAAGGACAATTTATTTGTTGGGCAAAGATGTATGACACCAATAAGTTCATTCTGGTTTCATTACAAACTGTTGCTTTTCTGTGTGCGGAAAAGGCTAAAATATAATAAAATTTTATTATCTGTATCAAATATAGTAAAATTATTTTTCAGGTTCTTATGTAATGATTAATTGCTTGGTGATATTACTTTTGAAGAGAGTCAAATTATGCATAAATTAACTTTATAGATCAGATAAAATAATCAGTGGCTTAAGAAGCTATGGTAGGCCAGGTGTAGTGGCTTATGCTTGTATCCCAGCACTTTGGAAGGCCAAGGTGGGTGGATCACCTGAGGTCAGGAGGTCAAGACCAGCCTGGCCAACATGATAAAACCCCTGTCTCTACTAAAATTACAAAAATTAGCTGGATGTGTCTCCTTGAACCCAGGAGGTGGAGGTTGCAGTGAGTGGAGATAACAGCACTGCATCCAGCCTGGGCAATAGAGTGAGACTCTGTCTCAAAAAAAATAAATAAATAAAAGAAACTATGGTAGGCATTGTCTGTTCCTTATAATAATGGAATTCTCTCTGTGGTATCTTTTACTCTTAAAAAAAATATATCTTGAAGTCAATGAATTGAACATAAGTTATACAGAATGACTTTAAAAAATTTAATTAAAACTAAGAAAAAATGCCATTTAATATAGATCTTAGGTAATTATGACAATAAAGTTATTCAACATAATTGGAAATGAATTGTTAGGATCTCTCAGGGTAGGCTAGGCGTGGTGGCTCACACCTGTAATCCCAGCACTTTGGGAGACCGAGGTGGGCGGATTGCCTGAGGTCAGAAGTTAGAGACCAGCTTGGCCAACATGGTGAAACCCCCATCTCTACTAAAAATACAAAAAAAAAAAAAAAAAAAAATATGTCTCAGGGTATTCTCTTTGGTATTATATTATGCAAAAGTCAAATAAATAAAAATTATCTTTGGTATATTCGGCAAAAAATATTCTCTTTGGTATTATAGTAGGCAAAAAATAAATAAAAATTCCACTGTCCCAGAAGATAGCAACACAATAGTAGCACGACTTACCTTTTAAAGGCTGCCAATTGCATTACCAAATGTTATGCAGTATCTGTGTTTTTGTACTTATTTTAGCCAAAAGGCCAAGAAACAATTATGTGTTTTCAGATTAAGAAAATAATTTGAGGACCTGCAGTTGTCTCTTGGCAGCAAAGAATGGCGTTAAAGACAGAACGACTCAGACATTAAGTAGATTCTCCAAATTTAAAAAGTGATAGCTAAATTTTTTGAACATTATTAAAAATATTTCTGCAAGTTCTCTATGATTGGATTTTTAGGCACAGGCTATGATTACCCTTATTTTTCATTTCTGAAAATGTTCACATGATGCTGTTGATATAATCCCAAGGGAAGGGAAAGCCAATCTTTCTTAAATAGACACTTTTCTAGGCTGTTGTTAGCAACTGTTTAGTTCTTCAATAAGAAGCCCTGTTATTAATAATATAAGAAATACTGACATCTACATGACTTTTATATGGAACAAACATGTGACTCACTATAATATTATGTATGGCTAAAATGCAATTGTTATATGCCATTAAACAATGTGGATATGGTCCAGATCAGGCTAAATATATACAAAGAACACTAACAGATTATTACTTGCAATTTTTTTGGCATTGTTTTTTTGAGACCCACTCTGTTACCCAGGCTGGAGTGCAGTGGCATGAGTTTGGCTCACTGTATTCTTAACCTGCTGGGCTCATGCAATCTTCCTACCTCAGCCTCCCAGGGCAGGACTACAAACACACACTAACATGTCTAGCTAGTTTTTCTCTATATATATATGTATTTTTTTTTTTGTAGAGATGGTGTTTTGCTGTGTTGCCCAGTGCTCTAGAGCTCTTAGCCTTAAGTAAACCTCCCTCCTCAGCCTCCCAAAGTATTGGGATTACAGGAATGAGTCCTGCACATGGTCACTTGTAGTAATATTCTTGGAACAGCCACCATCACCACCACATTTAAAGACTTTAAAAAAAGATACTTCCACTTTCTTGGAGTACAGAATTGCTAGCTCAACCAAAAATCAATGCAGCCCCCCAAAATAATAAGTCTTAGTTAAGTCTTTGAAATGCTGGTGGAGCTGGTGGGTAAAAACAGTAATACTTCAATGGATGTCAGTGAAAACTCACCTCTCCACTGTCACTTTTGATTGGTGTGAGGTAACCACATGTGGGCTGGCAACTGGCTCTCCATTTCCCGGAGCGTTCGTTGTACATGGAAGCGCAGATACCTCTGGGCATAGCAAAGGAGACAGAACGAAGGGTTACTAACATTCTTTTATCAGACCTAAACTCCAAGAGCCAGAATGTCTTGATTTATGTCTTGGCTCTACCACTTACCCGTTGTGAGACCTTGGGCACATCACTTAAACTCTCTGTGCCTTAGTTTCCTCATTAGTAACAGTACCTATTTCATAGTCTGTTAGAATTAAATGTATTAACATTAACACAAGCAAAGGACTTAGAACTGTGCGTGGCATGTTGTAAGTGCTAAAATAAGTATTATTAGTGTTTCTTGCACTAAAGTTACAGAAAGTATATAATATTGAAACCAAAGCCACTGATAAAGATAGCAGTATGCTGACTTGATCAAGCTGACACTAAATATCTTTACGAAGGATTCAGAGCAAATCACCATGGAATACCATAAGTATTAAAAATATTTTTGAAAACTCAGTTTAGTCCTATGCACACTTAGAATGATGAGGATTTCACAAATGAAAAGGCAGGGTACTGTACCTAAACAATCCACCTCATTATTCAAAGCTCAATGTTGCAGCCTACTTTAAGCTTGTATTGATGACTGCCTCTAAAATACAGGACAGGGTTACTTGTAAACTTTCATATAGGCTGGAGTTTCAGATAAATCTATGGTAGTTTATGGTTTCAGCTTGTTATGAAAGAATAACTGAAATCATTCCTACCCCTCACCCCTTGCCCCCTGCTTTTTTTGAGACAGGGTCTCATTTTGTCACTCAGGCTGCAGTGCAGTGGCGTGATCATGGCTCACTACAGCCTCTACCTCCTGGGCTTAGGCAATCCTCCTGCTTCAGCCTCCCAAGTAGCTGGGACCACAGGTGCATGCCACTATGCCCAGCTAATTAAAAAACAAAATTATTTGTAGAGACAGGGTCTTGCCCAGTCTTGAACTCCTGGGTTCAAGTGATCCTCCTGCCTCAGCCACCCAAAGTGTTGGGATTATAGGTGTGAGTCACCACACCTGGCCTGAAATAATTCCAAGACAGTGTTATTTTACAACCTGGCACAAATTCAGTAAAGCTGCCAGAGGTACAAGAGATCAGATAACTAAGGCAGAAAGTAAGTGATAATTTCAAATCTGCCCAAATTTGCAAAGCTGGTTAACAGGCAGCTCCTGAGAAAACATCTGATAGGTCTGTAAACTTGCCTGCCTGCTTACTCGCCTCAGAATTCTCTATGGAGCACTGGTAACACCAGTCAGACCTCAATCAGATGTGTGACTGGGAGAAGGGGAGTATTTGTTAGGCACAGCTAATCCTCAAGCCTCTTTTTAGCAGTTTTAACTCAAATCAAATTTATATGAGTGTTGACAAACACAGCTATACCAATCAGCAAGTTTCACCTTCCCTCTTGCCTTTCTTCATTCTTGGATTGAATTATAAAGAATATTATTCCCTTACCTGAAAGAACAGGTAAGGGAATAGCAGGAAGAGGGAAAATGAAGACAGACAAACAGCTTTAGCCCCTCAAATAATCCTGAGCTCGTGCAAGTTACAGCCTAACTTGATCACTCATGACAACTACGGGGTACCATGCCTGCTTACAGCTTATGTCTGTTATCATATTCTTGAAAACAGCATGCTAAAAATGCAACAGGGTTATAATATGCAACCGCTAGGACTATTCTCCAAACATACACATACATACATTAGGGCATCTTTAAAAGAGCATGAAAACCCTACCATAAAGGAGTTATGACATACAGAAACCAAAATAGCTTCTATTGAAATAAAACGAAGTCCCAAAATACCAGTAATACTTTACATTTGAAAGCCCTTAATGTTTACAGGCAATGTTCTGTCCTTGATCTTTGATCCAAAGGTATTCCAGCCTTTGCTTTTCTTTGTAAATAGAAGCTGCAGTGCCTGTGGTATTTTCTTTTCATTTTGGTATCATACATGAGGAAAGAGGAAGACAAGGATGAGCTATCTCCTAACTACCTGCATGTAGCATCATGAAGACCATGCGCGATCACTGAAAGAGTAGAATCAGGAGCTGAGGAACCTGGGCCCCAGCTGTGTGAGCCTGGCCTGTCACTGGATCTGAGAGCCCCTGTGGGTGGGGATCTTGCCTATTTGTTCACACTGAACCCTGCCCTATAACACAGCCTGGTACATAGGAGAGCTTCAAAAATGCTTGTTGACTCAAAGACAAAGCAAAGTAACCATCTCACAAGGCTGTGGTAGAAATTATGTATGAAAGATGTACCTGATACAAAAAGGGCACTTAATCAATATTAATTTAATCTGAGTGTTAAGGTTAATTTCACTTTTATTTAAAATACATTTGACTTATAATCACCTCATTAAAAAAAAAATCAGTAATCTCTTTCTAAAGCCTACGGCATATAAGTAACTCTCTAATGCAATTTTAAGGTCACTGTACATTATACGTATGGTATCACTACGGAGCCCAAGAACATGCCCAATTATTTGTTAGTTAAAAAACAAGAATTTCAACAAAATTTTAACTGTATTTTGAAGTCAGATCTAAGAGAAATAACATTTAAATCCTGTTTCTGAGAACTGCCTATAATACAAGTTGTCAAATGTATAAATTTAAAGTCCTTCCTTAAGAGGAAATATATATACTACTTTAGCAGACAGTATGTGACAAATGAAATTTAGTTTTATAAATTCAAAGGAAATTCTTCTAAAAGTATGTGTATGTATACACATATGCATAAGTATGTATACACACATGCATAAATATATATTACATAAGGTGATTTAAAATATCAAGCAACCCATTAGAGTATAAACAAATGTGAAAAGTATCTGGCAGAAATACTAGACAGAGTTTTACATAAGAGGAAGGAGTAGATGACAGAGCCCTAAGCTTCCATGAGTCTGTGAGTACTGGATCTTTTTTCTCTCCATCAACTCCTGAGTATCTTCACCCCTGGAGAGTCAATTCAGACATTTTATATATGAATTGGTTTGAGTTCATTGATGGAAATACCTGTTCCTCCAGCAAGAGCTCCCTTGGCTATATCGCCATTTCTCTGATCAATGGTTTTCTACCAAGAAGAAAAGAAGACGACTTTAAAAAATTAGAGTTACAAGTGAAAATGAAAAAGATAAAAGCAGACAAGAAGAGTTAGAAAACGGCCATGTTGGATACCTTATCTGTAGCTTCTGTTCTCCTGGTTCTTTTCATAATCTCCTCAAGTCGCTATAAGAAAGGAAGAATTGAGCAAGATCAGACACAGAAAAAAAGCCAGCCTGGCACATTTAACTGATGAAATAGATTATTAAAAATGGTCTGCTATTTTGGAAAGAAAAAATGCTTTTTTTTTTTTTTTTGAGACAGAGTCTTGCCCTGTCGCCCAGGCTGGAGTGCAGTGGCAAGTTCTCAGTTCTCTGCAGCCTCTGTCTCCTGAAGCGATTCCCCTGCCTCAGCTTCCCGAGTGGCTGGGATTACAGTAGCCAGCCACCACGCCCAGATAATTTTTGTATTTTTAGTAGAGACGGGGTTTCGCCATGTTGGTCAAGCTGGTCTTGAACTCCTGACCTCAGGTGATCTGCCTGCCTTGGCCTTCCAAAGTGCTGGGATTACAGGCATGAGCCACCGCATCTGGCCTTGCTACTGTGTCTTAATTGGAGTTATCCAAGAAAGTTGGAAGTGCCTTAAGCTCGGTGAAGCGGAGGTAACTGTTCTTTGGTGAGGGCTAAAACACTGAGAGAGATTTCTTTGCAGGAGATTGTCATCACTGAGGGGGCTACTAGTTTATGTGGAGAGGGAAGAACACGCGTTTTCCGACGGCAAGGGCTAGTGTCCGGGTCTTTCGAGGGTTGCAAGTTCGCATCCCGGGCCTCTGTGCTGAGACGCAGCTACCTTTTTTCTCTCCAGGCGCTCCTGCTCCTCTCTCTGGAAATGCTTCTCTCGTTCCTGCCGGACCCTCTCTGCTTCTTCACGAACACGAGCTTCTTCTTCTTTCTGAAAACAGAAAGTCGGTGTCTGCCTCTGACAAACAGGCGGGCTGCCCGGGTCTCCCAGGGGGCTCCTGGAGGTGGGGGTGAGGTGGCAGATGGAGGAGGTATGGACAGCGGGAGCACCGCCACCCTCCTTTGCTGGGCTGGGTCACCTCCCTGCGGGGCGGGGCCGGGCCGGGCCGCACCTGCCTCTGGGCGCGCTCCGCCTCCTCCCGCTCCGCCTCCTCCCGCTCGCGCTGCGCCCGCTCCTCCGCCTGCCTCCGCAGCTGCTCCTCCTTCTCCCGGGCCTGCTCGGCCTCCAGCCGGCGAGACTCCTCACGGCGAGTCCGCTCTTCAGCCACCCGTTGAGCCATTTCCTCTCTCTTTTGCCTGGAAAAAGACAAAAACAAGCAATGAGGAAAGGATTCCCTGTTTAATAAATGGTGTTGGGAAAACTGGCTAGCCATATACTGGGAGCTGAAACTGGACCCCTTCCTTACACCTTATACAAAAATTAACTCCAGATGGATTAAAGATTTAAACATAAGAATTAACACCATAAAAACCGTAGCAGAAAACGTAGGCAACACCATTCAGGACATAGGAACAGGCAAGGGCTTCATGACTAAAACACCAAGAGTAACAGCATCAAAAGCCAAAATAGACAAATGGGATCTAATTAAAACTCCAGAGCTTCTACACAGCAAAAGAAACAATCATTAGAGTGAACAGGCAACCAACAGAATGGGAAAAAATTTTTGCAATCTACCCATCTGACAAAGGACTAATATCCAGAATCTACAAAGAACTAAAGCAGATTTACAAGAAAAAAACAAACCCATTCAAAAGTAGGTGAAGGATATGAACAGATACTTTACAAAAGAAGACATATATAAGGCCAACAAACATAGGAAAAAATGCTCATCATCACTGGTCATTAGAGAAATGCAAATCAAAACCACATTGAGATACCATCTCACGCCAGTTAGAATGGCGATCATTAAAAAATCTGGAGACAACAGATGCTGGAGAGGATGTGGAGAAAAAGGAACACTTTTACACTGTTGGTGGGAGTGTAAATTAGTTCAACCATTGTGGAAGAGAGTGTGGCGATTCCTCAAGGATCTAGAAATAGAAATTCCATTTGACCCAGCAATCCCATTACTGGGTATATATCCAAAGGATTATAAGTCGTTCTACCATAAGGACACGTGCACACGAATGCTCATTGCAGCACTGTTTACAATAGCAAAGACATGGAACCAACCCAAATGTCCATCAATGATAGACGGGACAAAGAAAAGGTGGCACATATATACCATGGAATGCTATGCAGCCATAAAAAACGACAAGTTTCTGTCCTTTGTAGGGACATGGATGAATCTAGAAACCATCATTCTCAGCAAACTGACACAAGAACAGAAAACGAAACACTGCATGTTCTCACTCACAGGCGGGTGATGAACAATGAAAACACTTGAGCACAGGGAAGGGAACAACACTCACTGGGCTAGGTGAGGAGATGGAGGGGAGAGGTAGGGAGGGACAGCAGGGCGTTGGGTGGATGGGGAGGGATGACACCGGGAGAAATGCCTGATGTAGGCAACGGGGCAGGGGGAAAGATGTGGCATGTATGTACCTATGCAACAACCCTGCAGGATGTGCACATGTACCCCAGAGCCCAAAGTACAATTAAAAAAAAAAAAAGACAAAACCAAAACCAAAGACACCTGCGGGGAAATCCTTGGAGAGGGGCCTGCCTCGGTGGTTCTGTAGGGGCAGTTCCTTCAGGCGTCCAGTGCAAAAGTCCCTGCCGGATGCATTCAGCACTGCTAAGGGACAAAACGCAAGGCCACCCTTAGTCTTCCCCTCCACTTGCCAGCTGCATTGCCATCCATGGTGAGCAGAAGGAACATGTAACCACGAATATCTTGGGGAGAGCTGGTTTTTTGCAAGAAATTTAACTATTTTTAGAGGCTCAGACTTGTTTAATTCAAATAATGTGACTTCTTAGTAATGAATTTGAAGCACCCCCACCAAAGGAAATCTTTGTAAATAAATAAGGGTCATAGTGTTCTGTCACAGGACATGTGGGACGGTCATGTTGCCCCATGACCTTGCAGCTGGTCTGCAAGGATGAAATCTTCCTTATTAGAGCCAAGGGCAGGGTATGGCCAAGATGGCAGCCCAGTGCGGGGCATGAGATCCTTCCCCAGGGTACAGTTGTGTTTTTGAAGAACAGTTATATATATTGACATTAGTCTTATTAGCCCCAGAAGGTGATCAATTAAGCAAACTGTCTCTAGCATACTGCCAGGTAGGTAATCATGGGGCGTGTCAAGATCCCACGTGGCTACCCTCCGAGAGGAATTTTATCTGGAAAAGAGAAAACATGAACCCGTATTATGCAGCCTTAATGTGATAATTACTAAGATAAAGAGGAAACCTGGAGATTGGAGATGTGTTAAGTAAAAAAGCAGACTGTACAATTATACCTCTGCTGTGGTTATAATTATGTAAATGTGTATGTATGTATCTGTACACACACACTCCCATACCGTTGAAAGACTAGAAAGGACCACCCAAATGTACACAATTACTGAAAAGTGATATGATTATGGATTTTTTTTCTTTAAACTTTTCTCCATCAATGTTGTTGTACTATAATTAAAATAAGAAAACGTGGCTAGGCATGGTAGCGCATGTCTGTAATCCCAACATGTTGGGGGGTTTGGGTGAGAGGATCCCTTGAGCCCAAGAGTTTGAGACTAGCCTGGGCAATATAGTGAGACCCTATTTCTATTAAAAGGAAAAAAAAGAAGAAAATGCAATTTAAAAAGCAAATTGCTTGGTAGTCAAAGGAAATAATCCTGAAAGAACTAATCCATTCACCTTCATCAGTATAATCACCTCCTCCCTCTCGGAAGGGAGATGACTTAATCCAAGGTATCACTGACAGCACTGACACCATGGTGCTGAGCAATGTCTCCCCTTTACCTTTCAAGCTCTTCCTGCTCCCTCCTCTCCCTTTCTTCCTTTTCTCTCTGCTCTCGGGCCAGCCGCCTCTTCTCAGCTAGCAGCCTTGTGGCCTCTTCTGGGTCGGTGGTTCCTGCAGAAGGCTTAGGAGAAGCACTGACAGTCACAGTGGATGCCGGTGGTGGGACCATGGCTGGGGTGGGGACTGAGGCTGGAGCTGGGGCCGAGGCTGGAGCTGGGGCCAAGGCTGGAGCTGGGGCCGTGGCTGGAGCTGGGGCCGTGGCTGGAGCAGCTGCACAAATAGGTACAAGGAGAAAAGCAATTGGAAACAAAATCCAAAGAGCAAAACCAAAACTGGCATTCCCCACATCCCAGGCCTAGAATTCACCCTTATAAAAGAAAAGGGAATGTTTATTACTGTGTGTTCTCACGGTTTCACTGTGTTCTATCTGTAACTAAGCAACAGATAAAAAAAATCAGTATGTGTAAGTGAGACATCCAAAAAGATGACACTCTGTCACCAAGTCTTATTTTTATACCAGTGAAATCAGTTAACAACATACATTGAATGTATATAGAGCCTCATGTTAGAGTCTGTAGGAAATTATACACTGAGCAAAAAGAAGATGAGATCATCCATTTGTCTTTCATTGCATTTGAAAATTCCTACTCTTTGGTAACCAATCATTACTACAGCAGCATCCTCAGCATCCATGCCACGAGTCCAGATTCAGACAGGGAAGATGACACCCTATGAAGGGGACTCTTTTGTTTCCCGAGAGTTGCCTCTAGGTCTGAGATGAGAGGAGCTTAGGCCTCTTTGGGAGCTGGTGCTCATTCTGTTTATTCATCCCAGGCTGCCAAGATGCAAGATGGGAGCAGACGTGCTCTGGCCTTACCTGGATTTAGGAAGATGACCTAGAGTGCTGGTGCAGCAGAAGCCCCACACAGACACTCACAATTCTGCACCATAGCCAGTGCCAGCTCGGGTGCCTGGCTGCTCCAGCCCCTCCTTTTGAGGGTCACATTTCTGCTTCTGCTCCCACAGATTTTTCTTGGCCATCTTGATGCTCTATAGCCCTTAATTCCCTTTTCCGTGGAGGGAAACACCGGACTCCTCCTTTCTCTAACATTTTCACCTGTTTCGAATCATGTCTTCTTTTTTTGCCTCCATTTTCTGTCTCCAAATTAAGTCTTAAGTAGAAAACTTTTGAATAAAGACAGCTGTCAACTAGAAATATTGAATTCCAAGATATAGGTGGTTTTCAATTTCTAAAAGCATCTGAGTTAGCCTGGGAGAGGTGAGAACCAGTGGGTCTTCTGAAAAAAAAAATATGACTTCTATCAAGCACACAGGCTATGCCAGGTGTCCTTAAACTGCAATATGCTATGCCCAGGAATAGCACTGCCAGATTTAACTGGCCACCCTGTGTTCTATCTGGCAACCGTGTTCAGGCATCAACTGACAAGCTTAGTATCCTTCAGAGTCCTCACATCTACCACTGCATATTCTGACTCAGTAAGTCTGAGTTTAGCCAAGGGTCTGTATTTCAAAACATTTTGGATGTGGTGGTTTAAACATATTTCCAGTTTTCCTCAGCTGCTGACAAGGTGCCCTCAGTCCCTCTGAGGAATCTAGGGCCACGCTGGAGTGGGACCCTCACTTCATCGGGCAACTAGCACCTTGTCTGGCAGTTCCAGCCAGCCCCACGCTTGCTCGCACCACAGCCTCTGTTTCTGAGCTCACCTGCATTCTGCATGAGGCTCAGCCCTCATTCTGCATGAGGGTCAGGTGACCGTCAAGGAGGATAAGATCAATGCCTTCATTAAAGTAGCTGGTAAATGTGCATAAAAATAAATAAATAAATAAATAATAAGGTAGCTGGTGTAACTGTTGAACCTTTTTGGACTGGCTTGTTGGCAAAGGCGGCCAATGATGACATGGGGAGCCTCATCTGCAACGTAGGAGTTTGTGGAGCTGTACCAGCAGGGGGTCCTGCCCCCTCTACCAATGCTGTTCCAGCTGAGGGGAAGAAATAGAAGCAAAGTAAAGAGAGTCTGAGGAGTCCCAGGAGGATATGGGCTTTGGTCTTTTTGACCAAACCTCTTTTCTAACAAGTTCAATACAGAGCTGAAGTCGTAAAACGCATTCTTTGAAAACTCCCCCTTCAAAAGGTAGAGACTATGTCTTCTCCTGGAGTGTGAGTTCACTTTTCTACTTAACAGAATGTGACAGAAACACTGGTGTGTGACTTCTGAGACTGGGTCATAAAAGACACTGTAGATTCCTCCTCATTCTCTCTTCTAGGTCAGTCACTCTGGCGGAAGCCAGCAGAGCAAGCAGACAGATGAGGACATTCAGCTATATACGGAGCGGTCCGTGTGTAGAGAAACCGAGGCCGCCTGCCTCCCACCTTGTGTGTAAGCCACCGTCCAGCTCTGGGTGCATCGTGAGATGGACTGCAGCTCTAGCCGACAGCTTGACTGCAATCCCAGGAGCTTGACTGCAATCTCAGGAGCTTGACTGCAGTCTCCCAGCTGAGCTGCTCCCATGTTCCTGACCCAAGAATCCGTGTGATATGATAAACGTTTGTTGTTGTTTTAAGCTGCGAATTCATTGTGAAGCAGTAGACAACAAATACAAAAGGTGATTTTGATGCAGGTGCTCAATGAGAAGCTATGCCTGAATTCCTGTGTTTGTGGCTCCAACAACAGGCTTTTGGAGGTATGATTCGATATTTACATTTCTATTTCTGCTTCCGCAGATTTTTTTTTCACAGCTGTCATGATGCACTATGGCCCTCCTTTTCTTTCTTTCCTTTTCCATGGAAGCAAACACTGGGCTCCTCCCTTCTCTAACATTTCACCTGTCTTGAATATCTCTTCTTTCTTGCCCCACCCTCTATCTTCAAATTAAGTCTTAAGTAGAAAACTTTTGAATGAAGACAGTTTTCAAGTAGAAATATTGAATTTCTAGCTCCAGGTGATTTTATATTTCTAAGTAGCATCTGGTTAGCCTGGCAGAGGTGAAAACCAGTAGGTCCTTCTGGATAAAATTCTGACTTCTACCAACCGCACAGGCCAAGCCAGGGGGTCCTTAAACTCCAGTATGCATTGGAATAGCATTGCCACGTAATTATTTTACTTAACTTTTTACTAAGTAAAATACTATTTTTAAGCAACCCTAAGTTAAAAAAGTATATTTAAGGAAAGGTTTTAAACTTAACCTTAGAGTAATATTTCCAAGTTTCCAACAAGAGAAGAAAAGGAAAACAAAAAAAGCTTAATCGAAGCAGTGTGGGAGAAAAAGAGAACACCCGAACCACAGGTGAGTTCGCTCTTACCAGGGCCAGCTTCTGGTTTGGCAGGTGTCCCCTCTTCAACTGTGGTGGCTTCCACCTTCACTGAAGGTGCTCTGCCCTTTAGTGAGGGCTCATTGGCAACTTTCTGGGGTTCCTTCTCAGGGTCCTTTTTCTCAGGGTCTTTTTTCTCAGGCTCCACTCTGCCTTCCCTCTTGACAGGGCGGATGTTGCCAGGGGATGGGGGCCGGACCTGAGCAGGAGCAGCTTTGACTGTGCCGGGTGGCAAAGAGGATGTGGGTCTGGGTGTCCCAGGCAAGTGAGGAAGAGACTTGGACGGAAGCCTGGGTCACAAACCAACAAGGCAGACAGAAGGGGACACATGAGAACAGGTTCGCCAGAACTTAGAACGACTAGAAGGAAAAAAATGCAGATATTGGCCAGGTGTGGTGGCTCATGCCTGTAATACCAGAACTTTGGGAGGCTGAGGCGGATGGATCACGAGGTCAAGAGATCGAGACCATCCTGGACAACATGGTGAAACCCCATCTCTACTAAAAATACAAAAAAATTAGCTGGGCATGGTGGCGCATGCCTGTAGCTCCAGCTACTTGGGAGGCTGAGGCAAGATTGTGCCACTGCACTCCAGCCTGGTCAACAGAGCGAGACTCTGTCTCAAAAAAAAAAAAAAAAAAAGAATGCAGATATTCAGCTATATGTATTTGTTTTTTATGTGGTAGATGCAGAAATAGAGTTCCCTAAAGCTAGGGAACCATTCCAATTTCTGTTTTTTCTTTCCTTTCGGGAAGAATGTTATTCCCAAAGTCAAAGCCAAACAGCATGAGAACAACGGTTCACTTTCAGAGGAGAGAGGCTACTAATTCACTAACATGGAACAACCCAGCCAGCCACTTACATTTCACTTACCAAAGTCGGGAGGAAGCTGGCGGTCTTGCTTTGGGATTAGATGGAGATAGAGCCCTTCGGGTGCCAGATGTAAGGAGGAAGGGTGTATTTTCTCTCTCTCTTTCTTTTTTATGGCCCTAAGTTCAGAGAAACTCAATTGTTAGATTTTTCCATGAGTGAGGCAACCACATTCACAGTATTCAACAGTGGAGCTAGAAACCATTGAATGACTTTTAAGAAATTTTCTCAGCTATGTCATATACTCATTCCACCACAACAAAAGGCCCTTGGTAGCTTAAAACTGAACAGTATAACTGAATTAACACAATGTGACACTAATGAGGTCATTCTGGATGTGTGATTTGGAGTCATATTTGTCAAAAAAGCATTCGTATATACATACTTTTAGAAAGCACCTATACTTTGTGTTTAAAAATTAATTACCTGAAAAAAAACCTCTCAATCTGGTTTATCCCACACAAATGTCTAATGTTATTTTCATTTTAAAAAAACTTTTAATTAAAACACATCTTTTCTTTTTAATTCTTTAGCATCCCCCCTAAACATACTATAGCTCAGTCTTCTAAAAAAATTACATGACTGCTATATTAGACATAAACTCATTTTTTCATTTATATTGATTTTGTATAATAGAATCAAGTCCTTCCTCACCTAGCGTCCTCTTGCAGCAATGGATAACTGATACAACAGGTGATTTTGAAGGAAAGTCAGGTTTAAAGTGAGGAATTTCAGCTATCTGTTTTTTTGTTCTCCCTTACCAGGAATAAAGCTGAAATCTGAAGGTGGGCTAAAACATCACCCCTCGCTGACTACCAACTAGGAATTCAGCCAGAGAGATGACATTTTCTTAAGTCAAAATGGGCAAAGGGAAGCCCTGAGAAGTGTTCTAATACCCTAAAGTCAATCAAGACCAAAATGAACAAACAAAAAATGTACAGAGCAAAACAGACCCATTCCAAGTATCTGAAACCTAACGATGCCCTGGGGCGGGAGGGGCTGTGTGCTGAAGGCACCCATATGAACAGTCGTCAGGAGGGCAGACTGCAAGCGTGCATGGGAAGGGGCAGAAAACTATCTTGTCCTAGGTCACATAAACCAGCAGTATACCTTTTCCTCTCTCCTTTTCTGCCTGGCTCAAGCATCTACTCCTCTCTTCCTTCCTTTCCCTTTTATTCCCTTCAGCGTCCCTTTTAATTGCTTCTCTCTATTTTCCTTAAGTAGCATCCTAGCTGAGGGACTGGGCTATCAGAGGAGCAAAAACATCTAAGGGTCAAATAATCCTCATTGTCTCCCTGGAATTTCTAAACAGAAAAAATGAAGAAAGAGGCAGAGAAGAGCTTCACAAGGTATGTAGCAGCTCTCCATCATTTCCAGCTGTTCAACCACCATATCTCCCATCTTAGGTCCCCCAAAGTAGGAGGTGGGTCCTCACAGAGCTGCTGTGGGCTTTGGGTATCAAAAGCTGCAGCCACCATATGGGGTGCTCCTGGCTGGTGTAGAGGGTAGGCCCAGGGCTCTTACCAGGGGAGACTGAGGTTAAGTATCTCAAGTAGCCCTTCTTTTTTTTCTTTTTCTCAAAACATTTTGATTTGGCTGACATCAGATCAGTGAGTAACCTAAATGGGAAAGAGACTCAAGAGGGACAATTTTTGATGGGGGGGTGGGCCTGGGGATTATTATTATCTGTGCCTTGATAATACAGGGATCAGGGAATGAACCTATATAAAGGTATATACTCTTAGGATTACAGTGCCTTTGAACCAATTCTGTCTCTTTTAAAAGTGATCTCCTTTAATCATCTAGGGGTAGGTGAGCAGAGGAGGAATGGTTAGGAAAAACACTCAATACTTAACACCCTCCCAAGCAGGGAGAGTTTTGTTTCTTTTCTTTTTCTGTTCTATACTTTTCTAACCCTTTTAGTCCTGTCATTGCTCTTATATCCAACCACCCATTTGGGTACCACACATGTAAAGGAACTCCTGATTCTCATCCTGATCTGAGTTAACAGCCCACCGTCTACACAGTCATCTTTCCTATTAACACTTTCCATAATGCTGAGGGGGAAACACATGATCAGCAAGTCAAAGGTCTGGGCAACATATCACCAGGAAAAAGACTTTAATTTTATAATTAAGGCAAGTTTAGAATACAGTATAAATATCCTCCCAAGAGAGACGATTCACAGATATTTTAAGGCAGTGTTGTCTAATAGAATTTTCTGTGATGATGAAGATGTTCTAAATCTAGCCACTAACCACATTTGCCTATTTGAATTTAAATCTAAATTAATTCAAATTAAGTAAAATAGAAAAGAAAATTTGAAAAACATCTCCATTTCCTATAGCATCCAAAGGAATAAAGTACTTAGGAATGAAGTTAACAAAGGAGGCTAAAGACCTGCATAGTGAAAACTAGAAGATAGTGCTGAAAGAAATTAAAGACAACACAAACGGAAGGAAATCCTGTGTGCAGGGATTAGAAGATTTAATACTGTTAGGATGCCATGCATTCCCTATTGGAATCCCAATATAATTTTTACTTTTTGCAGAAATATAAAAATGCAACCCAGAATTGACAAAAAATTTCAAAGGACCCTGAAGAACCAAAATAATCTTGAAAAAGAACAAAGTTGGAGGTATTACATTTCCTGATTTCACAACATATTACAGGTTGAGTATCCCTTATCCAAAATGATTGGGATGGCAGCGTGTCAGATTTCAGATTTTGGAATACTTGCATTAACACTTACGGCTTTAGCAGCCCTAATCCATAAAACTAGAAATCTGAAAATGCTCTAATGAGCATTTCCTTTAAGTGTCATGTTGGCACTCAAAAGTTCCACATTTTGGAGCATTTTGTATTTTGTATTTTTGAATTAGAGATATTCAGTTGGTACAAAGCTACCGTGATTAGTACTGTGTGGTAATGTATCAAGACAGATATATAGGGCCGGGCATTACGGCTCACGTCTGTAATCCCAACACATGGGGAGGCCGAGGCGGTGGATCACTTGAGGTTAGGAGTTCAAGACCAGCCTGGCCAACATGGCGAAACCCTCTCTCTACTAAAAATACAAAAATTAGTTGGGCATGGTGGCACATGCCTGTAGTCTCAGCTACTCAGAAGGCTGAGGCATGACAATCGCTTGAGTCTGGGAGGCAGAGGTTATAGTGAGCCAAGATTGCACTCCTGCACTCCAGCCTGTGGGTGACAGAGAGAGATTCTGTCTCCAAAAAAAAAAAAAAAAAAAAAAAAAAGATATATAGACCCATGGAATAGAATACAGAAACCAGAAACAAATCCCTTGTGTATATGGTCAAATGCTAACACCATTCAATGAAACAAGGACATTCTGTTCAACAAATGAAAAACTGGATATCCAAATGCAAAAGAATGAAGTTGGATTCTTGCCTTATAAAATAGACAAAAGGTAACTCAAAATGGATTAAAGACTTAAATGTAAGACTTAAAACTATAAAACCTCTAGAAGAAAACATAAGTAAAAAATTTCATGACACTGCATTTGGTACTGCTTTCTTGGACATAACACCAAAAGCATAGGCAACAAAGTAAAAATAGACAAATGAGACAATATCAAACTGAAACACTTCTATGCATCAAAGAAAACAGTAGAGTAAAAAGGCAACCTATGGAATAGGAGAAAGTATTTGCAAGTCATATATTTAATAGGGGATGACTACCAGAATATATAAATAACTCTATAATTCCACAATAATGAAACAACCCAATTAAAAAGTAGGCAAAGAACTTGAATAGAAATTTTTCTAATGACGATACATGAAAAGCCAACAAGCATATGCAATATGTTCACCATCAGTGATCACTAAAGAAATGCAAACCAAAACTACAAGACATCACCTCACATTCCTTAAGATGGCTCTTATCAAAAAACAATATCACGATTGTTGGCGAGAATGTGAAGATACAGAAATCTTTGTGCACTGTTAGTGGGAATGTAAAATGGTACGGCTGCTATGGAAAATGACATGGAGACTCCTCAAAAAATTGAAAATAGGATTACTATATGATCCAGCCGTCCCTCTATATCAAGTGATACTAAAAGAAGTATCTCTAGAGATATCTGTATTTCCATGTTCATAGCAGCATTATTCACAAAAGCCACGAGGTGAAAGCAACCCAAATGTTCACTAACGGATGAACTGATAAACAAAATGTGGTATACAAATACAATGGAACATTATTCAGCCCTAAAAAGAAGGAAATTCTGACATAAGCTATAACAAGGATGAACCTTGAGGACATTATGCAAAGTGAAATAAGCTAGGTACAAAAATTCAAACACTGCATGATTTCACTTTTATGTGGTCTCTAAAGTAGCTAAATTCATAGAAACAAAGTACAACAGTGGCTGCCAGGGGCTGCGGGGAAGGAGAAATGGGAAGTTGTTTAACGGGAGTACAGTTTGAGTTCTAAAGAACTTAAAAAGTTCTGGACAACATGGTGAAACCCCGTCTCTACTAAAAATACAAAACATTAGCTGGGCATGGCGGCGCGTGCCTGTAATCCCAGCTACTCGGGAGGCTGAGGCAGGAGAATTGCCTGAACTCAGGAGGCGGAGGTTGCGGTGAGCCGAGATCGCGCCATTGCACTCCAGCCTGGGTAACAAGAGCGAAACTCCGTCTCAAAAAAAAAAAAAAAAAAGTTCTGGACATCGGTTGCATTTCAGTATGGATATACTTAACACTGCTGAACTTTAGAATGGTTAAAATATTAAATTTTATGTTATGTGTTTTTTTTCCCACCACAATTAAACGTTTTTTAAAAACTTAAAATTCAGCTTTTCAGTCTCACTAGCCACTTTCCAGGTGCTCACTGTGGCCAGTCACTATTGAATACCACAGTGCAGCGCCAGGGTATAAATGACACCTTGAGTCATTTTCTGGCAGTCTTTGCCTAAATACTTGGTTGTAAAGAGGTAAAAAGACAGCTAAGTGATTAAACAGAGAAAGAAGAAGGCGTTAAAAACAAAACAAAACAAGGCTCAGGATCATGTGATGACAAATCCCTCTCATTTAATCTGTCAGCCACAGGTGACCCTCAACCTTCTCTCAAGGAGTGTTAATTTTTGTTTTACCCAGAACAAGATATTTTTTCCATGGTAAATGCTCTTTTCCCTGTCCAGTGAGTACCCAACTTTGGGGCCAAACTGTTCTGTTTAACTATGGCTTTTTGTCCACCGCTAAGCAGCATCTCTGAAACACCAACACTCTAATAAATTAAAACTTCCCAGACATCAAAGATTGTTCACCTGTGGCTTAGAGGGTTGGAAGCCTGACTCAATCATGAATCAAACACTGATTCCAGAAAGGCTGAAGGAGCTTGAAAGAAAAACAGCCTGTGGGCAAAGTCATGAAGCTCTCACAACCCTGAATTATCCTTTAAGCCAAATCCTTTTAAGTGTCCATCAGGTCTATAAATCTGAATTGCTCTGGGAAGTTACGATTTCAAGAAATTGTTCTGGCCTTTCATTAAAAGGGTCATACTGTTATCCTGGAGAGAGGCAATAAGATCTTCTAGTTGACTGGTGAGTCCTTTAAGACTAAAGCACAATGTCTAAAGACCACAGAACAAGGTTTCTATCTTTCAACTGATAAACACAGGATTTAAAACAAAGAAGAAAGATTCCTGGAGACACACAAATTACCTCATTGCATTTATGGCATGGTGAAAATTAACATTACATCAGCCAGTAATAACAAGTACAAATTATATTTTTTACTTACAAATTCTGAGTTTATAGCATAGCCTAACAGCCTTTCAGGAATTGGTGGTTTAGCAAATGACTAATGTTTTCAAAATACTTTTTTGACTATATTTTAAGATCTGGGCCTTGACAGGGATTAGCCAAGCAGGATAAAAATTCTTTATCTTGCTTTTGAGTGAACCACATTTAGAGTTCAGCCAGCTTCTGGATATGGTTGGAATAAAATGCCAAGGCAGCGGTCCAAGCCCACTTCCCCTCCAAAGGCCATTTGGTTTTCCTGCTTTCAAAAATGAAAGCATTCTGGCATTGCACTTATGCATATGGACACTTCAGCAGGGTAGGGTGTCCATTCATATATGCTTGAACAAAGAACAGCTTTCGTCTTCAAATTCAAATGTTTAGGGAGAGCAAAATCCCCAAGTGAAGAGGAAGTGGGGGGACACTACTGCCCAGCCAGCCAGATTCATGATCAATGGGAGAGATGGGATGGTGGATGTCGCGGTCTCCCCGTCATACGCCCACACCGCACCTCGGGGTCATGTCCAGTCTGCACAGGAACAGCACTGGCTCCCAGACTTGCCCAGCTGCTCCCAACAGCTACTCACCGCTGTGCCATGAATGGTCCTCCTGCGAGAAGAGCCCTCAGGTGGTGTTACAAAGAGTTTTGGTCGATCCATCGAATTTCTAGAGTGTGCAGCTTTGTAGGGCATGATGATGGGACTGCAAGATGCTGAACGAGGACAAATGGGGATAACTAGGGTGCAGGTGATTGGTTTAACACACAAGAGTGCCAGAGGAGCAGTTGAAGAAAGCCAAAAGCAGGTTCAGGAAAAGGAGCAAAGCAGAGATAGAGAGAAAAGTAGGAAGAAGATGTTATTACCTAAAGGTGCCCAGAACCATCATACTCAACTGTCCTTACAGTCCTATGAATTTATGATGAGTCCGAAAGGAAGGCATGTCCACATAAAAAATCTGGAATATACTGTTAGCTTTGGCTCTTCAAATACTAATGAAAGATGTAGATGTTATCCAGTAATTATGGAGAGCAATGGTTTTATATTCCTATTAGCTGATGGTTCTGGAAAAAACACTACATTAGTGATAAAAGATAATTTTTATATAAAGACTACATTACCAGACTTTTCCTAAATTAGCTTTAAGATGGAACAAAAGGTGGAAAGAGAGGAAGTGTGCAAGCAGGCAAGCAAGATACACTACAACTGTTTCAGGATTCAAGTTCAACAGCCAGCAGGGGAAAAAAGCAACCAAACAAAAAATGTTAAATGAACAAGTCTTACCAGGTGTTAAGACTTGTCATAAGGATAAGTAATACTTTTCCAGGAAAATATTCTGTATATATCTTATTTATTTACAGGCAAACCAAATGCATGCTTCTGGGTTTTCCCAAAAGCCCAAGGCATTTGACAGTTCATAAGAAGCAGCAGTAGAACATATGGGGAGATTAGCTATAACTATTTAAAATGTTGAAAAGAACATAAATATGTTAGATCTGCTAAATGTAAGGTTGAACCATGAAGAAACTTTAGAGTTTTACTCAAGATGGAATATTTTATGAAAAACCACATAAGTTCTGACCATTTACCCTCAAAGGAACACTGTCATTAATCAAGTTATTGTGAACAACAGTGGGTTTAAAGTAACACTGCATAGGTATCAGAAGTGTAAACGTTCAGGTTCTAAGGTCTATTTTCAGATCTCATTCAGAAATTTTAATTCCCAGCAAAAATAAGACAAACACAACTATAGAGAATACTATGCATTTGGACATAGTTATAAAAGGACTTTTCAACTGTAGCCTTTGTAGTAATCCTTTAAATAAACCATTATGCCAGCTGAATGTAAAAGGATTAATAAATTAAAAACTCAAAAGTTCACAAGACAAATTTGGGGTGATTTTAATTTCAGGATTACAGGGTTGAAAAATATTTGCATTTTGGTTTAATTTATAGCAGAAATTTAATCAGATTGCATCTTTATTAATGCACTCTCTTTCATTAAATGCCTGACAGTATCTTCTGGCTATCACTGGATGGTATTGTTTTGTTTTGAGATACGATCTCACTTGTTGCCCAGGCTGGGGTGCAGTGGCATGATCTCGGCTCACTGCAGCCTCAACAGTGAAGATTGGAAACTGCACTCTTTTTTCCCAACATTTGAAAACAGAATTCTGTTTCTTCAGGACAAATTAAAACACTTTTTCAATTTATTCAGTTTTCCTTAAAAGAATATATGTGTGTCTTACTTGGAAACAGACATAAAGCTTTACTTCCAGCCTTAAGGGAGAAGGAAGGATTTGTATTGTGAAGGAAGGGAACCTCTTGTCATTTTGCCTGTGATCACAGGAAGAACTCTTTGAAAGTAACCTTTTCTCAAGTGCCACAACAAGGCATTTGCATTTTCCAGACAAGAAAGAGTTCACTAACGCAAAATTCTTCTAAACCAATCAAATGCATTTAAGGAATCATATCCTGGCACAAGGCACTTATGGAGATTAATAACGGGGAGGGGTGGGGGAGTCACGCACTGCCCAGGGCACAGCCAGAGGCCATTCACCTTGCTCAAGGATCAAGAAACCCTAGAAAACAGCTCTGCTTGGAGGCCATGGGTCTGATGCTGAAAAAGGAATGAAGCACAGAAATACGATTTCTTTTCCCTCGAGTGAAAAAATATAATTTCATTAAGTATCTATGGAGCATTTCCTGATGCTATCATGGATATAAGCCAATATCACCAGGCCTTCTGGTTTATTCTTTATCTTAATGTTGAGGTGATACTAAATATGAGCTGAAAATATCCTTAAACCTATCTAGTATAGTCCATAGAAAAACATCCTCAAATTTAGTCCGAAGAACATCTTTTGGCTAAAATAAACATAAACTACTTGTAAGGGTATTAGATTTCATGGAATTCATCGCTGTACTCAATAGCAAGTACTGAAAAACCTGAAATCTTCAAGTCAATTATTTGAATAATCTTGCCCTTCTGAAGAAATAGTAAGAACAATATATAGTTATTTTTTCTGAGAGTACACTTCATATCCCAAGTAGTTAAACATGAACACTATCTCAGGAAAATGTCTTTGAGAAAGTCTTCCACAATGTATGTATTTCATCCTACTCTTAGTCATAAGTATGCATTAATTTAACTCATTCAATATTTTCTATATGAAATAATGGGTGCAAAGAAAAGACAATGCAGTTCAAATGGTTGAAGTGTAGCACAGCAAAAAGAAAAACTGCATAATATGATACTAGCATTTACTGAGAGTCTACTATGTGCAGGACTAGTCCACACACTGAATATACATTATTTAATCCTGAGCTCTAATAACCACATGCATTTTGAATCTCCTGGGGGAAAAAAATATAGAAAAGTCAACCCAAAGCAGTGGCTACAAATGAGAGGTGTGAGACTAAGAATGCCGGTTCTCAATTACTCTGCTGTTTGTGCAGAGAGTTTGCAATCACTGTACATCCTAGGGCTAAAAGTAGCTGTTTAATCTGCTAATGTAACTCAGCACAGGACATACTATAGGTTACCTTCTTGCCAATGACAATTAGGAATATGATGAGGTCAAGGGACAACGCTAAAATGGAAAAACATGAAAGAATAATCACGGACAGTAGATGAAAAATAAAAATGATGAAAAATGTGGTTTTGACAAGATTACTGGAAGAGACGTTTGCATATATAATTCCATGTGAAAATTAAAAAACCCCAGGAGTTCTGGTTCATTAAACATAAGCTGTATCAATGAAATAGGTGACAATGAAGTAGGCAATGTATTGACAAAACAGGCAGCTCAAGTAAAGGCTGTGCACTCTTTGACACTAAAATAAATTACAGAAACATGTCAGCTTGTGAAAAGGAGAATGGAAAAGTGTCAAAGTAAAGAGTCAGTTTGCAGATAAAAAAGGCAGCTTGGTTGAGCATAACAACAAAGAAGAGGGAAAGTAGAATGGGTGGAAAATGAGGAAACTGTGTTGGAAAAGACTAGAGGGAGAGTGAAATAAGTGACAACAGTTAGTGATGACAAAAATAGCAAAGACAATTTCCCAGCTGAGAGGCAGTCCTTTAGCACAACATAGCACACAAGGGGAGATTCAGAAGGATGACAGCCATAAACCAGCTAGATGCTAGAAAATAGGACTGAAAACCAGTTTTAAAGCTTCTTCAATTAGCTAGATATAAAGAAAAACTCACGACTTGTGGAAAGTGTGAAATTCATAGGCATAGAAAAAAATATTGAAATAAGCTGTACTTTTTCCTCCAGAAAAACCTCAGATGCAAATGTGACAGCTCTGACAGGAGAGTGACTTTACAGAGAACACAGAACGTTGTGGTCCAGCTAGTTGACTGTATAACTGCTCATAAAGCATCACTCAGGGCATTGAGGATGGAGGGGTAAACACATCTCTGATCCTGCCTATCAATTTTCTAAGTGGTTTTGGTGTAAGTCACTTATGCCACTGCACTTGGTTTCCATAAGAAGGTGGCGGGAATGCCAACACTTGCCTTCGTGATTGTCTCCCAGGGGTACTATGAGATTTAGGACTGAGATTCATTCGCTCATTGGGCACTGTAGATTAAATAAACTATAAATCCACTAACAATTATTACTTAAAAGGGGGCTAATGAACGTGGAGAGGCTTGCAAGGGCAAAGCACTTTTAAAGTGCCAAAAATGTGGGCTGGTCGACTGTTTATATAAATATTCCAATTGTCTCCAAAGATATTTGAGAAAACCTAAATCAACTCACCAGGAGAGATGTTACCCAAAGTCTAATATGTACCTTTCTTACCAACTAGATGGAGGCTCTATACTAACTTCTCATTAAATTAACTGGCTAATTCTGGTATGTTTTGCATTTCAAAAAAGTAGGAGTTATAACTAATCATCATAACTGGTACTTAGCATGTTTCATATAATTTCAAAGTATGTAACAAATAAGGATATTACAATTAGCCTACTCCACAACTCTGAGAGTTCTGGAAGGGTACATTCCTAGATTACATATAAAAGCTTGGCACAGGGAGAATAAGTAGCTGTGCCACAGCCACATTATAAAACTCTATGCTTAAATACCAGACTCGTGCTTTGATTTTATTCTCAAGTTCATATATTAGTATTAAATGTTAAATTATTTCTACCTTGGATTATCTGCTCAGAGACAGAGGCAGAAGGAAAGGCAGGGAAGGAATACTTTCTTCGGGTAATGTTATGAACAGACAGAAGCCTCTGAAGCCATTGGAGCCCAGGGAGGGCTTTCTCAGCCTGCCTGGCATCTGGTGTCCAGGTAAGATGCTAAGGCTGGTGCCCAGGGGAAACAATGCCAGGGGTATGAAACCAACACTGACAGACATTTCTACCAGGGGAAGAGAGAAGCACACTTTAGGAAAAAGTGAGATGTGATTAGATGAATATGCTTCAAAGGGAGCACTTGACCTCACAGGGAAAGTTCTACCTGGACAGTTTTACCTGCTTCTCCAGACAAGGCAGCTGTGCTTTTACTTCTGGCCAGGAACGAATGTGTGGGCGTCAGGAGTCTGTTAACAACGCTGCTCTCCCATGGGCTGAGCTGCAGGCGGCGAGCTAAACGTCACCACATAAGCAAGATGTTAGAAGCATTCTTTTCAGAGACAAGAGGGCATAATACATCATACCTATCGCTTCCATACGCTGGGCCTTCACAGGACCAGGCTCTGCAGGGAGGACGGCTGGCCAAGAGTCAGGGCAACAGGACCCCTGTGCAGAGGGAGTGGTTATTCCATAAGGTTTCTTTTCTTCAAGATGTTAGGTTGGTAGCAGGCTCTAAATTAATTTTACAGATGCAAATTTTGCTAAACACCCTCTTTTACTAGTCAAATGGCAATAAAACAAAAAGACTATTTCAGCTATTGTTTTGGTGTGTATCTGTAACTCCAGAGTGGTACTGATGGGCATTGGGATGGGCAGTATGGCACACTCCTTAGTCAAAAGGCTTCCTAAGTACCTTGAATAATAAACCCCAATAGAGGCATTGGCAGGTTAATGGAAGACTGGAATCAAATAAAAGACAGAAAGGGGCCCCAGTAAATTATGCTAAATCTCCATGAATTACTACTTGGGCAATGGGAGTATGTGTGTGGGAATTAGATATAATAAAATGAAAGAAGATTCATGCAAAGTTCTGTATGGGAATCCTTTTAGCCTTTTCATTTGGCAAGCCAGGTTCTTTCAGGTCTCTCTTTGGCAACAATATAAAAAATTTGGCTGAGGACAAGGCTATGGCTGAAGCATGGTAAAATTAAACAGAAAAGCTAAAATCCAATATAAATATAATCCTAGCGATTACTAGTGGGTGCCTAAGAAATCTGGAAAACAAATTTAACAGTGCAATGATGTATGGTCCCAAATTATAGTGGAGCTTAGCAAGGTCATAGTTAGGAAATGCATGCCAATTATAAATTAAGTACTTTGCTTATATGGTTAGCTTCCAGTGATGGCTTATGAAAAGATAGAGGCTATTTTGCAAAAATATCAGTAAAGCTTGCAAAATTCTACAAACATCACTGAAGCAAAGTGATTACATTATCTCTTTCTTTCTTTCTTTTTTTTTTTTTTTAAAGACAGGGGTCTTGCCATGTTGCTCAGGCTGATTTTGAACTCCTGGGCTCAAGCAAGCCTTCTTCTCTAGCCTCCCAAGTAGTTGGGTTTACAGGTGCATGCCACTGTGTCTGAATTAAAAGTCTTTTAAACTGTCTACACCTGACAAGGCTGCTTCTGTTCTGCTCCACAAACAGCAGGTGCAAGTCTCCCCTGCCTCTGGAGCAGTGTTCTATATAACTATCATATATATATGTATGTATATATATATATATATATATAAATATTTTAACTGAATGGCATTTAAATTCTAGGAAATTAGTTTTAGTTAATAAAAGCCATATACTGCTAAACACTGTCTTAAAGATAGTTGCTTCTATTTGGAATGAAGTAACAACTTCCAGGAAGTATCTTAATTATGTGACTATTTTAAAAGAGTAGCTATTTTGATCAGGCTCTGGTGAATTTAAGAATTAATGAATCATTTGTCAGAGTGTATAAGAAGAGTCTTCATGGTTAAATTAAATATTATCTGACATTAAGACATTAATTAAAAAGACATGTTATTAAAACTACTGCATTAGTTACAATGTAGAAAGCACCATGGGTAAGTACTACCATAAGCTATGCACCGCTGTGTGAGTGTGTGTAACAACAGAACAGAATGCAATCTAAGATTATAATACATTTACAGGGTAAAGTCAATGAGGAAAAGGTGATTCGGATTAATTGAAAATCTTCAACAACTATTTTCAAGAGATGAGAAGGGAAGTTAAACCCTTTTCTTAGAGAAACTGTGCGATGACTGTGGCTTACAACTGCAGAGATGGGTTGTCATTGAAAAAATAAGTCTGCTTTCTCCCTTAAGTTCAGTTACTTTATTTCCATGAGTCTGAAGGTATCGACAAAAAAATTTATTTCAAATGATTAAAAACCCATTTTAACCTGCATGTAAAGCAAATCCAGAGAGATTTGTTTTCTATCTCCTGATACCGTGAAATAAACACACTGCTAGGAAAAGCCCGTTTCTACTTCCACCACATTCATAACTATCCCTTGACCAAGATGGAAATAGAGCTTCGTAAAATAACTTTTTAGTAAAGGTTAATAAATGAGAGTTGGTGTATTTTTTTTTCCACCTAGAGGGGTCTGATTTTAAGATTACAAAACTGAAGGGAGAGATATTAACTCTTATGGAACAACTCTAATGGCATCGATCCTATTTAAGCACTTAAAATTGAGATACTGACAATTTCCGTCATAGACCACTCAGATGAAGAGAGGCAAACTCAAAGGCCTCCGGGGGCTATGCAGGTTAACATAAATAAATAATTGGAGCTAAACAAACTTTATAGATACCTGCCTTACCACTTCCTCCCGTAAGTGTGACATCACTATTCCATTTCAGGTAATAGGTGCCATGAAGAAATTAGACACATGTTGCCAGGTCCTGATTTTTTCATTAGAAGTAGAAAATCGAAATGTTATATGAAGTAGTCTACATTTTAAGTGTTGGCAATTAATTCTAATTAAAACAAGAACAGACACTCTGCTCAGGTAAAACAGAATAAGCCTGTGAGCAGAATTCAGCTTGAGGTCCACCTCTGAGTCCTATGATGGAGATTCTCAGGAAAAAAGTTTATTGATGGATTTTAAGCAAAGAGTAGGCAATTTCATTCTTACTCTTTTCCAACTTCCTAATGTTCTTTCTTGAGAAAAAGTTGGTTAAAGAGACAGCTTAAAGATAACAGTATATACTTTCAAGGTAAAAATTTCCAGTGGCAATATTCTGTTGCAGCAGTTACAGACACCTTTCATAATCAGAGGTTTCCTTTAACCAAAGTAATTTTATCAGTTCATTATGATACTATATTCAGATGTAATAATTAAAATATTTAAAAACTGACAAGGCACAGACGCTAAGCTAATGGCTGGCTTCCATTGGCTTTGGAGGGCCTGGGAAAGCACATCTTGGAGAAGTGATACGAAAAAATTTCATTATTTCTAATAACTAGTAGAGCTGTTTGGATGCATTCCAGCAAAACATGAGCCCTGATGGTATCAGAGCCTCAATTTAATCTCAGTTTTAAGGCCTATGCCTTAGGACTAAAAAAGCTTAAACAATCTAATAACAATATATATACTGGCTTGACATATTTGTTTATAAGTTACTCTATTTTAACAATCTGGTAAGAATGCCTTCTAATGAGATAATGAAGGATAATGAACTTTAAAAAACAGCAGGAAAAAACTAATGGAATTACTTAAGTTTCTTTTATTTATTTTTAATTATTTTCTTTTTGAGACAGGGTCTCACTCTGTTGCCCAGGCTAGAGTGCAGTGGTGCAATCACAGCTCACCACAGTCTTAACCTCCCAAGGGTTACGTGATCCTCCTGCCTCAGCCCCCTGAGTAACTGGAACTACAGGAGCACACCATAACATTTGACTAATTTTTGTAATTTCTGTAGAGATGGGGTTTCACCAGGTTGCCCAGGCTGGTCTCAAACTCCTGGGCTCAAGTGATTCTCCCGCCTCAGCCTCCTGGTGCTGAGATTACAAGTGTGAGCCGCTGTGCCTGGCCTTAGATTTTTAAATTAGAGAAATTCAAATTCAGAAGAAGTTTTAAAATTCTTACTATAATAAAAGGCCTAAGCCTCTCACTGTTCTACTGAGGGTATTGTCTAAGTTAAAAAGAAAAGAAATTCCTTCCTAGGCAATATATGGCAACCTCTTCCAGGCTGACCCGGCCTGTTAGACCAGGAACTGGTTGACAGTTCTTCTGTAAGGAGGCAGAGAAGCAGAACTCTCAAATCTAGTGTTCTCCTTCTTGTCCTATTATTTCTGCTTAGTTGGGCCTCTACCATGATTCAAGGGGCAGTTTTCTGGCCCTATCTAACCACTGGGTATTGAACTTCCGTTAACCCTGCTGTCCTATGTCCTAATTCTCTATTCCTTACCACTTCTAACTGTACACACACACACACACGCACAATGCACAGAGTCAGAGTCAATCTAAGAAAGGATACCCATGAAGGTCACACACACACACACACACACAAAATGCACAGAGTCAGAGTCAATCTAAGAAAGGACACCCATGAAGGTGAGAACTGAGGATGAAGTGTGGCAGTCACATGGGTAAGGAGTCGCTCTTCTGCAACAATTAGCCTGTAGGATATTAAGACAGGCTCACCACCTCTTAGGGATTCACCACCCCAACTAGTGTAGGTGATCTGTCCAGTAGATCTTTCTTGGTTCCAAGATTCTACTGCCTTAAGACAGTCTAATTGAATACTATTGCGCAGAGTGTAGAACACATCTTTCTGATACAGACAATTCAGTATGTCATTCCACAGCATGGACAGGATATTGCCCAGTTTGTTGTCCAGCTCCCCACTCCCACCCTACCCTAATTTCAGAGGTGGGATTGTAGAAGATAATAAAGTTTTAAAGTACTATAAAATATTAATTGTAGTTTGTATCAGATCCAGGTTCACAAAAGTTTGAAACTAAAGCGCTAGGTGAAACTAAAGTGCTAGGTGACCAACTGCAAAGAAAAGATGAATAGACAACTGTAAGAATAACATTCACATGTTGTATTTTGTCTTATATTAAGGGAATAGGTTTGAAAATAAAGGATATTTATGAAATAAATTTTAATTCATAATATTTACGAAAGGCCCCTAATTTGACTACAAGTCCAATATTGATGGTTTAGGCAAATTAGGTTAGAAAACCAAAAAGAAATGGTTTTGGTTAAAAGGCAAGAATGTAAAGTTGTTCAAACATTTACTCTTTTAAAAGAGATTAGTTATAAAATAACACCAACACTCATAGAATATTGTACATTACAATGACACCATAACTTTTATACAATACAAAATAGATAAATATACATACACACATACAGAACATGCACACATTACATTTTTTAAAGATTATAAACACTGAAACTTTCCCAATCGGTTTCTTAATAAAGTACTCAAAGTAACCACAATTTTTTACTTTTAAAGAGTATGGGCTTCATACTGCACAACAATTCTTTGGTTTTTTAAAAAATCATCTTAGTTATGTAAAAAAACAAGCAGCTTATCTTAAAAGCTTGATTTGTTCATTCTATGATATATGTAAAACAAAACTTTTGCTTTATAAATAACTCAACATTGATGTACTGTAAATCCATGGGATGAATAAAACTCAAAATTCAAATAGGATGTTAATTGGAGGACTATGAATATTAAATGTTTCAGGAGGCTGTAATGATGATGATATTACTGAAGTTAGGCCAGATCCCTCAAGAGTTAATGAATGGACACCGAAAAACCAACAGCACACATAAGAAATGCAGTAAGAAATAATTTGGTTAAGTGAGAAATAAATTGGCAAAATAAAATCTACCAACATGAATCATTTAAAAAGTTTTTAAGAAAGTCAGAGCCTGGAATTCCCGAAGTACAGATGAGAAGTCAAAGACAGTATGATTGAAGTAAAAGAAATGTTCATAACAAAGATTATTTGCATTTTGGTGGATAAGTGGGTGATTTCTGGAGCTGTAAACACATTTACTAAAAAGTTGAGAGAAGCACTGCTTTCGTCACTGCTAAATGCAATCACTCAGCCAAGTTCTAAAATGAGAAATGTTCTTCTCGCAAGGAAAATGCTGCTCAGCCGTTTATTGCTTTTTTACTCTGAAGTTTTTTTCTTCCTATTTAAGAAACGTAGGGAAAGCAACTTCAGATGCTTATTTTTTATCTGTAAACATCCAGAAAAAAAAGCATTACGTAAATAACAGATACTTTTTGTTTTCCTTTGGACTGTACCTCTATCTGGAGAATTAAGTAAAGTTGCAGATGAGGAGGAGAGCCGCTTGCTAATGACGGGATCAACATGTTTCGAAAGATTCATGGTGGAAACTGACCTCCTGTCTGGATCTAAAACAAATGGAGATAACGCTAATTGACAGCCAACATGCAAGATTGCAATTTCCTACTTCACTGATGGAAGGAAAAACTAGGATGGGATGCTTTCTGCTCTATTTCTAGATCTGTCATAGAACACAGTTTTCTAAGTGGACATGTTAAAGGTAACTTAAAGGCTTAGAAATAAAATTCATTTCTCTTAAAGGAGAAAATAAATATTCATTTCACCAGCTTGTCAGCCATGGAAATTCAAGGATGTAAGTGGATGAAGACCAAAGGACGGCCAGCGAAGGGTTTCCCAGATAGCGGAGGCACCCTATGAAGCAAAAGAGGACCACAAAAGCGAATGCCTTTGAAATCTCCAAAAGGAGGAACAAGGGAGTGGTAACATGCTGGTAGCACAGAAAGCAAACACTGGGATAAAAAGAACACCAGGTCCTGTGTAACTGCTGATAACTTTGCTTACAGAGTCATTTTACCCAGGGCATTAAAGTTCATTATAGAAGAGGGGTTGTTGTTGTTGTTGTTTAAAAAAGAAAAAAAAATTCTAAGTGTGGAAAGGATTTTTAAAAAACTTTTCTTTGTTAAATTCTACTAAGAACCACACCTCTGTGCCTATGAGTTAGTGTGGCCTACAAACGTAGAATTAGCAAACACACTCATGAACCATAGTATTGTTCATCCTGTAGTCGGGTAATTTTTAAATTCCTTTTTTTTTTTTTTGAGACAGGATCTTGCTCTGTTGGCCAGGCTGGAGTGTGGTGGCATGATCATAGCTCACTGCACCTGGGTTTCCTGGGCTCAAAATCCTCCCACCTCAGCCTCCTGAGTAGTTAAGACTTTAGGCAGGCATCACTATGCTCAGCTAACTTTTAAATACATATATATATTTAAAAAATATATATATATTTAAAAATATATATATATTTTGGTAGAGGTGGGGTCTCATTATGTTGCCCAGGCTGGTCTCAAATTCCTGGCCTCAAGTGATCCTCCCACCTTGACCTCTCAAAGTGTTGGGATTACAGACATGAGCCACTGTGCCTGGCATAATTTTTAGAATTCTTAAATTCAAATCAGAAGGGAAATGACCGTATAAAAGGCAAAAATTAGCAGCGTGCTGTTGGAATAGTGGACCTAGTTTATAATCATGCTCATTAGGATAAATTGTGTCCCTCAAATAACACTGCATATAGTGAAAGTCTAAAAAATCTTATGACTATATTTATCCAGGAGGCAGGTGGATGTTCTGAACTATAGTAGCCAAAGTAAAAGGAGTTTTACTGTATTTTATTTTTGTTAGCTGCTTCTAAAACGAAAACAAAAATATTTCTTGTAGTAGATGCTTCCAAAACTCAGTACTCGTTACTCTAACTAACTTTGGCAGTAAAAAAAAAAAAAAAATTGCTGGAAACTTTTCCCCATGCATTTTTGACTATGATTTATAATGTACTGGCAATAAGCAAGTCTTTGATTAATGTCAGATATTTCTATCTTCACCTGGGATTCATTTTAATGGTTGAAACAATTTTATTATTTTAAAAAAAGCACACCATTTCTGTGCCTCACATTTACACCTAGCTGATGGATTCTTAGGGCAATCCAAACATAAATAAAAGATTTAGAGTCAAACATCTAAAGGAACATCTAGTGATGACATGCAAGGTACAGGGTAGGAAGTGGAATACGAAAGTCACTTCCAGGTGATTTTATAGCAGTACATTTTCTGATATTGCTTTACATGTTAAGCTTTAGTTGGGGGAAAATTGTGTCCACATGCAGGCCTATCCTCACACAGATTCTCAACAGCCTATTAAAAACATTTAGTCCTGCTTCAGAGTAAACAGAACAAATGAGCTACAGTAGATCCTCCTGTCTTAAAAAGTACCATTGAGCAGAAAAGCAACTAAATCTGTCATAAATTGTTAAAATTATGAAGGCACTCCATGAATTTGTTATAGTACTTAATATATAAGACAGTTTTTATTCATTTCTTTTTCTCACTGAACAAAACAAATTCACAAACTAATAAGTTTTGAACGTATCAAGCTTTACAAACCAGTGCTAGCTGATGGCCAGCAGCTGACCAAGACAGGAATTTTAATGTAGACAGTTTCTGGGATGTGTTTGTTGGTCAGCAAACTGTGACAGAATACCCATCATCCATCGGATGTTGTTGTGAAGTAAAGGGTATTCAAAATGAGTAAGACCTGGTTGCTGCTTTCAATATCATAGTAGATCATTTTCTGGTCTTTGAAAGCTTTGGCAAATCCCAGTTATTTTCAGGCAAACTTCTCTGTTCTAGTATAGGAACAATTTATTCGAATTCACAACCTGTATTAAAATGAATTTTACCCAACAACTCGCAAATGCCACAGCGGTTTCTCTTGTTCTGAGGGGCAGAAATAAAAGTAATATAGTAAGCTGTGAGTGTTGACCCCAAAAATTAAGCTAAGTAGCTTAACACGTCCTCAAAAATGTCTGATGATCTAACAGTATATAGCTGCCACATACATGTAAAACAGGAAGCCAGGTAATACAAAAATATGATTATAAAAACATATACCCTGCCAGCTTTCCTGTATGAAAGGTATATACAAAACTATCCCATCAACAAAATCTCATATGTAAATGATCTGTATAACAGATTTTATATGTGTCCCTCCAACTACTGCTGGGTCATGAAGAACCATGAAAACAGTACTTCTTTCATATTTGGTTCATTGTCATAAGAAAGTAAGTTGTGATATTTTTTAGACTTTAAAATTTTTCTTATTTTTTAAATTACATTTTTGAGTCAGGGTCTCACTCTGTCACCTAGGCTGGAGTGCAATGGCACTTAGCTCACTGTATCCTCAAATTCCTGAACTCAAGTGATCCTCCTGCCTCAGCCTCCTAAGTGGGTGGGATTACAGGCATATGCCACCATGCCAGGCTAACTTTTTAAAATAATTTTTTATAGAGTTGGGGTCTCACTATGTTGGCCAGGCTGCTCTTGAACTCCTGGCTTCAAGCAATCCTCCTGCCTCAGCCTCCCAAGGCACTAGGATTACAGGTGTGTATACTGCACCTGGTCCTAGATTTTTTTTTTTAAATAAAGGAGTTATAAAAGATCTACAGAATGTTTTAACAATGAAAGAGAATAGAGTAAGCAAACAAAGAAAGGTCCACAGTTATTTAACTTAAAACTAAAAGTGGCAACAGCAGTAATGATTGAGGGGAGAAAAGCTAAACTGGATGGACTTTGATCCCAGGTAGCTTTTTAGCTAAAAAAATTTTTTTTAAAGGTTTAATCCTGTTGACCGAAATTCTTCTCGCATAGGAAGGAAAAAAAAAAAGGTTTAATCCTGATATTGAAAAAATAAAAATAAAAAATTTAAATAGAAAACCAAAATGATCATTGAAAGAGAAAGCAAATGTTCTACACGTAATTACTTTATTTCAACACCTTTACGTCACCTCAGTCATATTATCACACTTAAGAAACACTGTGCCAATTCCAGATCTACGTCTATGTGCTAGGGTATTAAGCATGCGTGATGACTAAGGTGGTGATGGTTCAGCTACTGATGCATCGGCCCTAGGTCTGAGGTGCTAGCTACAGGTCAGGCAATCAACAATTGCAGGGATGTCTGTACCAGCTTTTCTAGTACCACCAAAAGTTATGAAGTGGTGGTCCAGGCCTGCTAAATCGAGAGAGGAGAATGATGATTCAACAAAACCACCTGGGGACAGAATGTAAAACAATGATTTTTCAAAGCAAATTAAAAAAAAAGGTTATCAGATTCACACAAATGAAAAAAAAAAAACAAAAACAAAACTGACAAACTATGTAAAATTCAAGGTGTATTGAATTTACAGTACAAAAATAAAGCCTTTCAGTAAATCCAAATTTCAATATGATTTTATGTCCATTCAAAAAAAAAATGTCCATTACTATTTCTAGCGTAATAAGCCTATGCATTTTCTTACAGAGCATTAGTGTTGCATATACTTTAGGGTCAGAATACATAAGCTCATAGTATTGATTCTGGTCAGTCCATATAACTATAATCCTTCCAGAGAAAAAGATAAAACTAGTTAACTTATTCCATAATCCTGAAACCCTAATGCAAATGGAGGACTAATGGTAGTGTTGAAACTAGCATGTTTATTTATAAACATTGCATAGATTTCTCCCTTTAAGGAATTTTGTAACAGGAGAACATCAGCCTGTGTTAAGGGAGAGCCCCTTACTTATCTCTATCACCCTCTTATCCTCAAATAGTGAAAGCATCATTTAATTGTTGTTTAATTATTTCAGCAGGATTTTTGTTTTGCAAACATAGATTTAGAAAAAAGAAGGAAATGCACTTTCAGGAAAATAAAAAGACTAATATTGAAAGTGGTCACTGTTTACCTGCACTGTGGATGCTAGGGCTCCCATGGAGAGAGCCTCCCCACGACCACCGGTTATGCTTCTGTTTTGGCCTCTGGCTCCTTTCCATTGTACGCCGTACAACAGCTTCATGGCGTTCCTTAAATGGAATAGAAGAGCTAAGGATTAGATTCCAGCTGGTTGTTTGAAGCTTCTTCAATTTAAGGCAGAATGGAGTAAGGAATACTACTTCAATTTCCACCCTACTATTTTTGATCTATAGCTGAACTTCTATACCTTGAGGTAAAACTAGTGTCAATCTGGGAAGGTCACTAAAGTCACTAGGTCCCGGTTCATAAAGCCCTTGGTGAATAACAGGCATTCAAATAAATGACCCTTACTACTAGGGTGTGATGCTTTCATGAACACACATAAGCGTGGTAGTGCAGGTCTTATCTTCAACTGATGCTTAACACATATGGCACAATATTTAAAAAATAGCTCAGAATCTGAGAACGTGGGTAACCCTGACCCCATGACTTATTGAGTTGTACGACCTTGTGTAACTTACCCACTATGAGTCTAAATTTCTATTTTTGTACAAGCTGACATGTAAGGCATGCTTAAGGATTAAGAGTTAAATGAGATAATCTATGCGTAAATGTTTGCAAAGGGTCAAGACTACAGAAACTCGAATACTTGGAGTGGTCTTAATACTCAGTACAAATGAATTTCACATCATAAGTTATAGGTTTGGACCAGAGAAAATGGGCTTTTAAAGTTTCTATGGCAATAATAATCATCAGCCCAGCCGCTACCTGACTCTCATACCCTGACTTCCCTAGAAACTGTGGCCATCTGTAAAGCTGATCACTCTGAAGCCATTTTGCTTTGCACCCTGCACCTGATTGCAAAGTTTCACAGAAAGTTTGCTGCATGTCTGAACTAGAGGAACCTCTCATATTCTTCCCGGGGGCGGCTTACTTTGTCCTCCTCAAGTCTCTGCCTCCGCTTCTCCTCCACAGCAGCCCTCCTCCGCTCCTCCTTCTGCCTCTGCTCCTCCAACCTCTTCTTCCGCTCTTCCAGGTGCTTCTCGTAGTGCTGCCTGGCTCGCTCTTCCCTTTCTAACCACACAGTTTCTCTTGCAGCTTTGGAGGGTGGGGAAAAAAAAAAGGGAAATCAAATACAGGCAGGTTGCAAACTTGAATAGTTAGGGCTGTATTAAGTGGTCTGCAATGAACAAATAGGGGTTCTTTGGTTTTGTATTAACCAAGCATGGCCTTTGCTTCCCTCAAATTTCCAAGAAAAATGCATTGCTGTTAATTTTTAGCCTAATTTAATATGTTAACAATGATGTTGAAGATGTACTGAATTCGCATCTCTCTGGGAACGCAAGCAGCCCTCTAGTTTGTATGTGGAATAAGGCATAAACCACACGTTCTAGTCTCAATCCTGAAAAATCAATAGTACCATCTGTCTCTCTTTTTTATTATAAAACAAGGTGATATCCTCCAGTCTATGACTATACTTTTTCCAACATGGCATTGGTTCTCTGTGAGTGTTAAAAGGATTTGGGAGAAGACAATTAGTTGGTAAAAGATGTCTGAAGTGCCTTTACAGGTCTATCACACTGAGTCAGCTCAGGGATGGGAAAGGCTGAACAAGCAGGCCTCGTGTCTGAGGAGCTCACAATCTAGTCAGGTAAGACTTCACCGTATCAAAAGCTGGATGGAAAATACAATCCAAAAATATCATTCAACAATAGGATGCATTTTTTTCTTCCTTACGTAATACAGGTTCCTTCCTCATTTTAGGAAAAGATATGCCCCTCAAAGCTATTTCGATATGCTGCTTCCTTCAGTGGTAATAACTAAAAATATCTCTGAGTTATTAATACTGTAGGAAAGTGTTCAAACAATATTTAGAGTGTAAAAATTACATGATCTAAATTAAAATGTTACTTTTTAAAAGAAAAAACAGGCCAGGTGCAGTGGCTCATGCCTGTAATCCCAGCAGTTTGGGAGGCTGAGGTGGGCAGATCATTTGAGATCAGGAGTTTGAGACTAGTCTGGCCAACATAGTGAAACCCTGTCTCTGCTAAAAATATAAGAATTATTTTTTATAGAAAAGAATCCAAAGGGTGTGGTGTCGTGTGCCTGTAGTTCCAGCTACTTGGGAGGCTGAGGTGTGAGAATCACTTGAACCTGGGAGGGCAGAGGTTGCAGCAAGCCGAGATTGTGCCACTGCACTCCAGCCTTAGTAAGAGTGAGACTCCATCTCAAAAAAATAAGTAAGAGAAAAAACACAAATTTAGAATATTTTACTTTCCTCTAAATGTTTAATATTAAAGAATTGATTTCTGATACCATTAAATCTTTCCAAAGTTAGTCATTAGAGGACTAAATCTACTTACTCAAAGTGATAGAAACTGACTTTATTTTAGTGAAATAAAAGGACAAGGACAAATTCAAGGTGATTTTTTTCTTCCTGGCATCATTTAGGGTGGTGTGTGGAATGAGCTGAGATGGGTTCTCCCAGCAGTTAGGACACTAACTGGCGCTGAGATCTCAGACACGTCCATTTGGATTTTAGCTTTCTTTGGCTTAAAATGAGGACACTGGTCTTCAAAGTTCCTACCAATTTTCAAAGCTCATTGCTCCAAAGAAATTCTCAGGCTCAAGTTAAAAATTTACTTCAATAAAAAGCATATAGTATACATAATAAGTATTTACTGAACGCTGGAAAAAATAAAGGCCACTGTGAGAACACACCTTAAAAGTTAACAGAAGGAGAACATAATTCTGATACTTTAAGATGCACTTACTGTGCTCATGCACACTCATGCAGATAATACCTTTTGGATTTTCTACAGGGGAATACCTTACTGGAAGGCTTTTAATGATATTAAACATTTTAATTCACTTAAAAAGGTGGATAAATTTTGACAGTGATAACTTTTGTCAAAGCGTAAACACAAAATAATAAACGGTAAAACAGCTGTCTTCCTCTAATCTAAGATCCTATTATATTCCACTTCCAACTTTTTGACAAATGTACACTATGCACCTTGTACCATAGTACACTTACTGCTCTGCATCTTGCTTTTTTTTTTTTTTTTTTTTTTTTTCTTTTTTTGTGACAGGGTCTCTGTTGCCCAGGCTGGAGTGTAGTGACACAATCATGGCTCACTGCAGCCTTGACCTCCCAGGCTCAGGTGATCCTCCCATCTCAGCTTCCTGGGTGGCCGGAACTACAGGTGTGCACCACTATGCCCAGCTAATTTTTTGTATTTAGTAGAGATGGGGTTTTGCCATATTGTCCAGTTTGGTCTTGAATTCCTGAACTCAAAGGATCTACCTGCCTCAGCCTTCCAAAGTTCTGGGATTACAGGCATGATCCACCACACCCAGCCTGCATCTTGCTTTTTCTAATTTAAAATATATCTTAGAGACTTTTCCATATCAACACATGAAATATGAATCTAACAATCTTTTTAATGGCCATGTATTTTATTGTCTATATACTATACTTTATTTTCTATAACCAGTTGCCTATTGAGTGATAAAGAGTTCAGACCCTGAGCAATACCAATGTGCTGTCGTAAATCTCCATGTAGATGTGTGAGCATGTCCATGTAGAGTAGTTGAATCAACGGGAATATAGATTTAAAATTTTCACAGATACTGTCCTACTGTCCTCTGCGGAGGTCATATCAGTTTATACACCTACCAACAATGCATGATGGTCACAGGCAGAAGAATCAGATATGTACTTGAGGTATGCAATATGGTACATCGATTTCTTAACTTTTAGCCTTCAAACTACATAGTCTTTGAGTTTTATACCTCATTTTGAGGAAAATTTCAAATTCTTTGAGGACATTTATGAACATAATATATTTCTCTTTTGTAAGAGATCCAGAAGCCAACAAGAGAAAATAAGAAATAAAGATGTTTGTAAAATATTAAGAAAATATTTAAAAGCTGGTAAGATAAATTTGTAAAATAAGAGTTAATTCACAGGTCAATTTTTCTTAAATAATGTTTTCATCAGGCTTTCTTACTTATTAACATGTGGCTCTATTTCTTCACTAAATTTAAACTCCTCTGATTTCTACAGTCCTATTTTGGCTTTAATATCCTTGTTTGGCTTTAATATTCTTCCTCTCCACGGCTCTCCAAAACAGCGTCTGCATTCTAATTAGATCCCGTTTCCTTAATGCATCTGCCATCAAACCACGCTTCTCCCAGATCTTTGTCTCTGTTATTGCCCTGTTGGAAAAACTGCCATCATTCTTTTATCCAAACAGATTCGTCCTCTAAGAAGGCATACTCATAACTGTAATACATGTCAGAATTATTGTTAGAACTGTGTGGGGGAAAGTGAGAATGTCTATTTCAAATGCAGATTCCAGGGCTCCACCTCTCATATTTAGGGGTGCTAAATATGAGAAACTTGTCCAGACAAGATGTGGGTAAAAAGAGGATCTTTCTCATAAATTCACTGTAAGGATTAAAAGAATAACTACACTTAATATGGTTAGAATACTTTTCTGCATGCAGTAAACATTCAATAAATATTAGCTATTATTGTTGTTTTTGTCATCATCACTGTAATTTCAGTTTAGAAAATTAAAGGTAGTTCTTAAGGTTGTGTTATAAATCACAAGAGGGCTAAACATTATTATAACAATAATTAGTTTTACCCCAAATAATCTTTTAAAGGAACAATATTTCTTTATCTTTTCAACTTTTATTGAATTTCACTTTTATTTTCTACCAGGAAGTGCAGATTTGAATGTGGTGCCTTCTTTAAGCAGTCACACAGCTAATAGGCAAATTAAACAATACTTTCCTATTGCAGAGTATGCTGGTGAGTGCAGGGTTATTGCTAAACATAGGTCATGTAATATTTTAAATGGAAGGATAATAGAATATACTTCAATATTTTAATAAAAATAGAAAGTTAATTTATTCTAAGAGATTTAATATGTGAATACATGCCCTTCCAAAAGAAGCTTTTTTTTTTAAAGGGAAAAAAAGTTTTAAAAAATAATCTAAAAGGTGCAAAATCAAGTCTATTTAAGGCTTGACTAAGACTTTTAGAATGGGTTAAAATATTCCCTATGGATGATAGATCATGTTGAGGCTATACATTTTCTCATTAAGAAATTAGAATTTTGAACACATGAAAAAATTTAGCAAATGTTATTGACTGAATTGTGCCCCCCAACCAAGTTCATATGCTGAAGCCCTAAGCCCCAAGGTGAATGCATTTGAAAATAGAACGTTTAGGAAGTAATTAGATTAAATGAGGTCATAAGGGTGGCATCCCAACCTGACAGATTCAGAAGAAATACCATGTGAGGACAATGTGGCCCTTTGTAAGCCAGGAAAAGAGCCCTCACCAGAAGCTGAACTTGATCTTGGGCTTCCCAGGCTCCAGAGCTGTGAGAAAATGAATTTCTGTTGTTTAAGCTGCCCAGTCGATGGTATTTTACTATGGCATCCCTAGTAGTTGCATACAACTCATTCAGTATTTAAATCATTAACAATCACTTAATTTCATAAAGAAGCAGCTCTGTAAAAGAATAGTATGTCCAAAAAATGAACTGTGATTAATATTAACCTTTACTCTTCTGAAGTCACAATTTATCCCTGGCCTATGGGATGACATTATAAAATGAAATGAAAGCCCACTGTAGCCCCTGAAATACTGGACACCAATGAGTCAGTCCCATCCCTGAGCTGCTGACACCAAGATTTTTAATGACACTGTAACAACATATCACTGCTATACAAAGGAGAAATCCACTATCAATCTAGACTCCATGTAGAAATACACAGTGACTTTGTACAAAAAGGAATTAAAAATGAAAAGCAGGGGACTGTGGTGGATAGAGGATAGTTTTTGGCTTCATAGGAACTTGGGCCCACCCTGTCTTGCCACTTACAAGCTATGTGCCACTGAACAAGTATTGACTTCTGTGGCTTTGTTCCCTCATGTTACTATGGTACTAACTTCCTGACAGGGTTGTTTGTGGCTCACAGTAACATATAAAACACTTAGCATAGTGCCATGTAAATTGCAGGGATTCAATAAATGCTGATAATAGGCTTTATCATCATTGATAATTCCTGCCCTATTG